AGGCTGGTCAAAATGCTCTCTGAAACTTGGCACGGTGGTGTATGCCTATAATCTCAGCACTTGGGAGGCTGAAGCAGGAGACTTGCAGTGAGTTGAATGCCAGGCTGGGCCACACAGTGAATTGAAGACCAGCCTGGACTATACAGGGAGGACTTGTCTCAAAAAACCCAAAACAAAACAAAATGAAAAGAAGAAAAAAGAAGCTCTGTGGGAGTAATCCAATCTGATGTCTGATGGGTGAGGAATAGTCACTGACATAAAAAGCCAAGTAAAGAATCTCATACACTCCCGATAGAGATGCACGAGTTTCACAGGGTCTTCTCCATCTCTCGGTCACGCTGGTGCCCTACTCTGTCTCATATGGAAGAATGCTTTAAGAGCCAAACACTGGGCAGTTCCTCCTGTCTCCACTCTACTCTTCCCTTGAGAGTCTGAAGTAAAAGTGCAGTGGCCTGCACAAGTAACTTGTCATTTTTTATATGCAAAACAAAGTTAAGGTCAAGATAAAATTATTAACCTCTGGAGTCTACAGATTTGGGATACTCGTATTTGAGAATCCTCCATGGATACTTTGAGTATCTAAAATGTTAACCGAAAGGACGTTCACTCAGGAGAAGCAACCTGAAGGGATTTTTTGTTTTTGTTTTTTAGATTTGCAAGAAGGACCACCTAGGAAACTACCCCCAGATGTGTCCAGTAGAGCCTCTACCCAGCGCATCTGTCAGTTCCAAGCTTCCCAGAGGGTAGCGTGGCATAATGAATCAGAAGTTTCACCTTGGAAGTTTACCCTGGCCACCCCACCTCTAGATACTCTGTGGACCCAAGTGCAGGATGCACAAAGCTAGCTGTAGCTGTGTATGTAACAGAGCAAAACCAGCACAAACACCAGGATTGCAAGCAGACCTCCAGCTCCACAGTGCACTACTGGCATTTGGGAAGGTCACGTCTCCTTCTTGCAAGATCCTCTCGTACTTGATAGGATATGTGGCCTCTCAAATGCTGGTGGAATCTACCAATTCTTTGAACAACTGCCCCTTCTCCAAAGTACATGTCTAAGTGCCCCCTGGTGGTGGGCAGTGCTACTCTGAGTTACAAAACCCAGGTGGAAAACTCTTCAACCATTACCAATGATATGTGGAATTTTGAATGCTCACAATATGATGTGGAAAGAACAATCACGGAAAGTAAAAGTGTATCACTACATGTCCAAAGCAAAACAACACAGACATGCACTCCTCTGGATACAGATACTGAAAATATATCCATAAAAAGTTTGGAAAACAATGTTCCTTGACTGATGGAAATGAATGATTTTTCTTTTCAAGCTATCTTATATATATATATATATTTTTTTTTTTTAAATAAGAAACTCCTCCTTTTATAAAAGAGACAAAGGCTATTTCTAAGCTGGGTGTAGTGGTGCATGCTGTACTCCCACATGCTATGAGGATAAGGTAGCAGGACTGGAAGATGAGCCCAGCCTGGGTAATGTAGCTTCTTGTTGGAACCTAGCCCAAAATAAAAAATAGCAAAGGGACGGGAATATAACTCATGGTGAAGGCCCTGGGTTCAATCCCCAGTACCAAGGGGAAAAGCTACTTCTGTTTCAGAGGACAAACACACTCTCACTGGGCGTCCTGCCACTCTAAGCCTTGTTTGGAGTTGGTGGAGACAGCAGGGTCAGCTCCTACCCCAGCCCTCGCTGTCTCAGTACTGAGCCACGCTCCAAGGCAGCAGGCCTTGTGCAGGAGCCCGGACTCGATCAGTGTTCCATGAGTATGTGCCACAGACACCATTCTCTTGTCTTGACGAGGCCAGAATGTGGCTGAAACACTCTCACGCCTTCAGCATCACTTTCACCACCCAGAGGGTTCTCCCACTCCCTTAGAAACACCTGGAAATATCATGGGTGCCACAGCTGGGAGACACTCTTGGCATTTGTGCTCAGGGGTCGGGGGTGCTGCTGAATACCCCACTGCACAGGGTCCCCCTACACCAAATTACCCAGCTGGAAGTGTGCACAGTATTGAAGCAAGGAAATCCTGTTCACCATGTGCTTTCTTACAGTTTCATGAATGATTTCTCCACACTCGTCCTGAAGTATTGCCTACTATAAATCTGTCATAATGGCATATCTAAAATGGGGAATACATTGTTCACTGAGTTTACAGGAAATTGGAACCTTGAAAATGACTTAATGGGCAGACCCCACTTCTTAGTCCTGCTAACCCAGTGCTCTCTGAATGACACCGAAGTTCTTCTTTGGAGTCAGCAGAGACAAAGGATCTGAGCAACATCTCTTCTGTCTGTCGCTTAAAATCATATGACAATGCCTTAGCTTCTCATTTTCACGCTATTGCACATTGGCTTTTGCAGCTGGTGACTTTTTATGAAATTAAGTGCTCATATTCAAGACCACTTTCTTAAACGGGAGATGACTTTCATTGTATTATATTAAATTGAAGGAATTTCTGAGAAGAAATCGAATCATAAAGACTATCACCTAAAGGTACACATATTAGCAACTCCACACTCAGGGAGAGAGATGGGAGGCTTCACACCAAAATGCAAGCACACTGTTCTCCCCCTTACGGGTCTTTAATATTTTGCCTCCAGCACAATGCATTTTTAGGTACACTATAATTTTTCTTGATCGAAAAATAGCTTTTTCTCAAATCATAGACAACTAACATATTAAACACGATCTATTAGGAAAAGGCATTTAGAGCTTAAATTTTTCTACCTGAAAATAAACTAGGCAAATTAAAAAAAAACCTTTTAATCTATATATAGCTCTGTAAATAATAGGTTTTAAAAGATCTCATAATTTAAAATTTGAGGCCATTCTTTAACACAGCATGAACCCTTCAGAATACTTAATATCAACTCACATTTTATTGGGCAAATATAGAACCCTTCAAAGAGCTTGAAAAGGTATTTTCTCTCTGGAGGGTAATTTCCCTTTCTAATCATCTGTGTCACATAGGTTTGAGTCAGCGTAGGGAACAGAGAAAGTCTTCCCAGGAACAATAGAATCATAATAGATGGGAATACCCTTTCATTTGGCATAATTCTAACCACTTGTTTAATAGCATTAATCATTTTCTTTCACAACAAATCAAAGAAATTTCAGTTTTATGCTTCCCAAAGACATTCATTTTGGGTGAGTCAAGTAGCCTCTAAAAATACCATAGATTCTCACTTGGAATTGTGGATTTAATCAAGATCCCAGCCGTTGCAATTGCCTGTTCATTAGGGTTGATGTGAGCAGAACGTTCTCTCTGGATCTGAGTATTTTTGAGTGATGCTTAATGGTTTTAGAGAAGAATCTACTTAGAAACTGAAAATAGCCTCCCTGGAGAAAGCCCCAGGCACAATTTAGCAGGAAGCCATGTAGCTCAAGTGAACCAAAGAAAGGTGGGCCCTGTAGAAATTGCTGGAAATAAGGGACCAGCTCAAAGACCCATCTGGGTGTGGGGATTTACATTGGACAGGGTGCTCAGCCAACTACCACCTCATTTGAACTTCTAGACAAACTACTCAAACACTGCCATTCTTCCCAAACCACGTTTCTCCTAAGACAATCTCGACTGAAGCAGAGGAAATGAAAGATATAACCTCAACCCACAAACCGCACAGAAGAAAGTGCTACTTTTCCTGCCAACATCCTAAGCCAGAACTACCTGGGTTCTCCCAGAGATGTCTTCTGTGAATATTCCTAGGCTAAGACATGTTCTTCTCCATGGTAGGAGTGAGAACAGAGGCTGCAAAACCGAAGGGCGTGTCAGGTTCAGGAAACTCGCACAAGAAAAGAAATGAACTTAGTGGAGACTGGAATGATTTGGTTAAGTAAGATGAAATTCTACGTAAAAAGCATGGCCAGAGCTCAACTTCCACCAATGACACTCTCATGGGAATGAGAAGATCAGCAGAGGTGCCGTGGGGGCTGTTGGTTATCACTGAAAGCTCTAAACGTCCCCCCCTCGCTCTTCTAGATCCTCAGAATTTTAAGACAGAAATATAAAGTGCAACATGAAAATTCTTACTCTCAAGGGCTAGTCACTAAAGTTTTAAACAAAACCTTGAAGATTAAAAAAAAAATCCTACATGATTGCACCTGCATTTTGTAGATGAAGGAAATGAGAAATGACAAAAGAGATGGCAGAAGTGTCTCCCTGTGACGCTATCAGTGATTCTTGGGTTGCGTAGATACAAAGAACTCTTTCTGGGCCATGGTCACACCTAAAGCTCCTGATTTACAATTTCCGGGCTGTCCAACTCTAAAAGCTTCTGTTGACACAGAGACCACCAGAGAAAGAAACAAAATGGGTCAGGGAAGGACAAATGTAGCATACAGGGAAGATGGCAGCAATACCCACCTTCCAGACATGCTGCTAACTCATCCCGGGCTGCTGGAAGGGAAAATTCCAAGAACCAAGCAATGCAAGGCAGAAGCTGTACATCACCGAGAAAAACACAGCACAACAGAAAGAAACCAAGTTCCCTTTATCAAGCCAATAATATTTAGAACCTGTGCACTGTACCAAAATATTTCAGGCACTGTCAAAATCTCTCTTTATTATGTAGACTCAAACTTGATATCTAAACACAGCATAGGTCACATGGCCAAATAAGGCAATCCCACACCTCTTCACTCTCTTTGAAAGAATCTGAGCATTGAGATTCGTGGTCAATGCTATAATCTCCTTTTCTACCCACCAAAAATGGTGTTTTGCTATCTAACATTTTGAAGCCAACATTTCTGAGATGTTTTTAGACAACCTGTGAGAAGTTAATAATAGCAACACAATGAATTAGCAATGGATCACTCAGGCTCAATTTAATTTCTCTTTCTCCTGTCCCCTGAGGCCTGTGACACCTTAACTCCTTGAGACCCCAACACATTGGCTCTGAATCAGCAAAACCAACCCTGTTTCCTAAGCTGGAATAAGGAAGGACTAGCAAGGCAAAGTTTAAGCCAAACCACATCCTGAACGTACCTGCTCCGGCTTCAGCCCCGGCGGGACCCAGGCGTACTCCTCCAAGGCACAGCCTGAGTCGTCATCCGAGGTCGAGTTTCTCTGGAAGTCAAACATGAGCTTGCTGATGGTCTTCTCCATCTCCAGTGGCATCACGGTCACCATGTGCTCCTCCTGGCGACACTTGCAGTGCAGGCAGATCTTCCTGTGAGAAGCGAAAGGAGTGGTGAGAAGGAAGGAAGAAAAAGGCATTTCTTTCACAAAGCTGTCAGTCTCCTGCCCCTGCACCCCCATGAACACATTCCTTGGCAATGGGCTTCTGGTAAATACTTGTCAAGCTGTGATCCGAGCACACCTTTCTCTGCAGAAGGAGAGGCACACGCACAGTATGGAAACAGAGTGAAAGGTCTCTAAGCATAGAGACACATGGGCCCAACCTTTGCCTAACCCAGTATTCTTCAAGGAATGGGAATGCAACCATCTCATTGCATCTCAATTTGGGTACGGTCCCAAATTCCTCCACTGTGATAGCCACTGATACACACAACACACACGGACCAGAAACCTTGCTGGGAGATTTAACAAACACCTTGACAAGGCCCTGTTGTTACAAAAGGTTCTGTAGTCATGGAGAATGGAAGACATGGTTTTTAAAAAGAACTGCAGGTGGGATTTTCTTTACAAAGTACAAAGATGAGCCTAGGATCTCATGGAAAAGACATTTTCACTTCCACTAAGTCTCTGGTTAGAAATTCCAGTAAGAAACCCAATTTCTCCCCATGTTGTTAGTTTTTGAAATATACATGAAGATCATGCATCTAAATTACTTCAAAAGGTAGCAGCCAAAGATAAAATTCTCTCCCCCCAACTGAACATTTCTCTTTTAAGGTTACCATCTGTTCCCTTATCCATGGCTACAGAAATGATGAAGTAATAAAAATGTTGATGTCAGCAACACAAAACCATTTCTGGCTTCCATCAATAAAATAAAAAGAGGATAACAGAGAACATTTTAAGAAAATACACTGTTCTCTGTGCACTGTGGTCTGTGCTATTAGTTTCAGTAGCACCTTATAAAGGTACTCGCTCGGGACTCTAACCTTCACATATGCATGAAGTTTTTGACAACAGAGGAATTAAGATATAATTCACACCCCATAACATCTACACTGTTATTTTGTTTTCTAGTAAAAGTATTTCTTTAGTACATGTTTACAGTACATAATGATTATATTCCCTGTGGGAGCTGGTACACGTACATGACACATTTTAATTCATTTTTCATCTCCTCCTACCTCCCCACCTCCATCTCTTGATCCCCTTCTCCCATTTGAGAAAATCTTATCTCCTTACTTCCTGTTATCTATCTTTTATTTTGCTCTTTCTTTTTCTTTTTTTTGGTACTGGGAATCGAACTCAGGACCTTGCACTTGCCAGGCAGGAACTGTACCGCTGAGCTATATCCCCAGCCCGCCTTATTTTGCTCTTATTTATAATTTGAGTGTCAAAACAGAAACCATGCAATCTTTACACTTACGTGTCTGATTTATTTCATTTAACATTATGGTCTCAAGGTGTATCTTTTTTCCTACAAATGACTTGAGTGTATCCTTCTTTATGGCAGAGTAGTGCCACACTGTGTGTAAATATCACATTTTTTTTCTCCATTCATCTGTTGAAGGACATATAGGCCAATCCCAAAATTTAGCTATTATGAATTGTGCTGCTATAAACACAGGTATACATGTACCACTGTAATATGATGCTTTAACTCTTTGGAAGACACCTAGGAGGGGAATAGCTGGATTGAATGGAATTTCTAGTTTTAGTTTTTTTGTGGGATATCCATACTGATTTCCATAGTGGTTGCATTAGTTTATGCCTCTCCTGCAACATGAAAGTGTTCCTTTTTTTTTTTTAATCGGTACCAGGGATCGAACGCACGACCACCTGCTTGCAAGGGAGGTGCTTATGCCACTGAGCTAAATCATCAGCCCCCAAAGTGTTCCTTTTGCTCCAGCCTTACTAGTATGTGTTAGTACTTCATTTATTGATAACAGCCATTCTTTCTGGGGTAAGATGGAATTTTAATTTGCATTTCTCTAATGGCTAATAATACTGAGGATTTCTTCATCTACTTACTGAATATTTTTACTTCTTATTCTATTCAATTACACTTTGGAGGGGTTGGGTCTTTTATTTGGGGGTCGAATTTTTTTGAGTTCTTTGCATATTGTTTTAACATTTACTTTTTTGTACATTTTGATGCTAGTTTAGTACATGGTAGAGATATGGGTCTGGATTCAATCTTCTGCATGTGGGAAGCCAGTTTTCCCAGCACCATTTATTTAAGAGGATGTCTTTTCTCTTGCATACATTTTTGGTCCTTCTTTCAAAGAACAGTTAGTTGAATGCACCTGGGATTGTTTCTGCAACTCTGTTCCACTGATTCACATGTCTCTCTTTGTGCCAATACCATGCTGTTTTCATCGCTGTTGCTTTATAATATAACTTCAAATCTGGGACTGTGGTGCTTCCAGCTTTGCTCTTGTTACTCATGGTTGCTTTTGCTGTTCTGGGTCTCTTCTGATTCCATATGAGTTTTAGGATTGTTTTCTCCAGCTCTGTTGGTACTCTGAAAATCTATCCTTTTAAAGTATGTGACTCAATGGCCCTTACTTAATGTATTTGAAGTTGTAGAATCATTACCAGTATATAATTTTACAGATCATACCCTCAAAACTGATGAGCATTAATAGTAACTTCTGCCCCTATCCTGAGGTTATTTTCTGCCTCTATTACTTTATCTATTTTGGGACATTTCCTATAATAACACCATATACTATGTAGTCTTTTCATACTGGCTCCCTTCACGTAAAAGGAAGTTAAGGTTTATCTGTGTCATAGCATTTAAAAGCCCTTCATTATCTTTTATCATTGAGTAATGACCTCTTCTGCATAGATAGTTCACATTTTTCATTCACCAGTTGTTGGATCGCAGGGCTCTTTCTGCTTCTATGAATAGTGATGCCCCGCATATTTAGGTATAAATTTCATGTGTGGGTGCACATACACATGCATGCATGGCCATATAGTTGCATTTCTCATGAGTATGTAACCAGGAATGCAACTGCTGCACCACACGGCTGGTTAACATCGGAGGGACAGCCCAATTGTATTCCAAATATCTGCATTGCTGTATAACTTATCAATGAATGAGAGTTCCACCCTGTTACTGTCTCTGTTGTAGCGGGGAGCAGTATTGAGTGGCGATTTTAATTTGCATATCTTTAATGGCTAATAAAATTAAGTATCTTTCAATGAACTTATTCTGTATTTTCTTTGGAAAATAACTGTTCAAACCCTTTGTCTATTTTTTCATTAAGTTATTTGTGATTTTACTGCTGAGTAATAAGCAGTCTTCTTACTTTCTGGATAATGTTCAGTGAAGCACAGATGTTTTTTAAATTTTAATGCAGTTCAGTTTACTTTTCCTTTGTTGCTTGCACGTTTGATATCCTATTTAAGAAACCACTCCTGAACGCATGGTCATAGAGATTTACTGGAAAGAGGTTTAAGCTCTAAGCCCGTACGTTTAGGTCAGTGATCCCTTTTGAGCTAATCTTTGCATATGCAATGAGGCAAAAGTTCAACTTCATTCACACATGGGTGTGTACAGCTGTCCTGGTGCCATTTCAAAAGCACATCTTTCACCCATGGTTGATTTACCTTGATACTTTTGTTGATTATCAACCTGAGAGTTTATTTCTGGACTCTCAACTCTCTTCCACTAATCTATATTATTGTAGTTTTGCAGTAAGTTTTGAACCATGACATGTGAGTCCTGCCACTGTTTTCCTTTTGAAAAACTCTTCTGGTTCTTGCAGGGTAGGCCTCTTGCACCTGCACTCTTAAACTACGAATTTTGGGGTTAGCTTGCCAGTTTCTGCAGAAACGCCCACTGAGATTTCAATGGGACCACACTGAATCTGTAGATTAATTTGGGGACTATTGCTTTCCTAACGCTATTAAGTTTTCCAGTCCGGGAACACAGGATGTCTTTCTATGCATGGCAGTCTATTTTAATTTCTTTCCATGATTATTTTGTGGATTTGAGGCACAAGTCTTGCATTTCTTTTCTTAGGTTGATTTCATATATATATATATATATATATATATATATATATATATAATGCTATTTTTATTGAATTGTTGCCTTAATTTCATTTTCAGATAGACAATGTAACAGAACTGGCTGTGGGTTTTTATACTGATGTTGTATCATACAACCCTGCTAAACTCATTTATTAGTACTAGATGCTTGTGTTCTTTAGGCTTTTCTATACAAAAGATCACGTCATACATGCACAGAGGCAATTCTACTCCTTCCCTTGTGATCTCATGGTATTTATTTCTTTGCCTTGCCTTATCGCCCTGTCTTGAATCTGCAATACAATGTTAAGTAGAAGAGGAGATGACTTGCCTTGTTCCTAATCCTAAGGAAAAACATCTAAGCTTTCACTACAAGTACTGATGCTAGAGGTGGTGGGAATTTTCTACAGATGCCTTTTATCAGTTTGAAGACAATTCCTTTTGTGTTAGTTCCTGGAGAGTTTTTATCAGGAAAGAATATTGGATTTTGGTAAATGCTTTTCCTGAGATGGTCAGTTGTTTTTTATCCTTATTCTATGAATGTGTTATGCCTAAAGGTTGCTACAAAAATGTACAAAAGAAACTAAATCACTTTAGCCCAGCTGAGTTAGGCTTGTCAGATCTTCCCACTTTCTGATTTTTATTACACCAAAAACCACACAGACAGAATGCACACCTGGGATCTAGTTTACATCTCCAAGCTCAAAGACATTCCATCAAAGATGTTGCATTTGAAAACACAGCTCATTTTAATAGTGAATCTTTAATTAATCAGCTGCTGTAAAGAGGTCAGGGTTGTAGAATTTTTTAATTCCGCAGAACATTTTATTTTTTTTGCTAGTTTGACTTTAGAGGAAAAAAAAAGTCAGGGCGCTTAAGCAAATTTAGTAAGTTCTTTGGTGATTAGTGCTTTTTATCAGAAAGCTATACTTCAAAAACAAAATGTAAAAGAATTTTAAAAGCCAAATATAGTTCTCTAGAATATCCATAAATGAAAAATTCATTTACTCAGCAATGCAAGCAGAATACAACATTTATTTTTGGATGGACCCC